GCGTGGCTCAGTCGGTTAAGCGTCCCGACTTCGGCTCAGGTCACGATCTCGCGGTTCGTGGGTTCGAGCCCCGCGTCGGGCTCTGTGCTGACGGCTCGGAGCCTGGAGCCTGCTTCGGATTCTGGGTCTCCTCCTGTCTCTGCCCCTCCCCTGCTCATGCTCTGTGTCTCTCTGTCTCTCAATAATAAAGAAACGTGAAGATGCGTCTGTTTCTGTGCTCTCCTAGCCGCTCCCTCGGAAGGCCACCCCCTTAGCGCCCTCCTCCCACCCCAGCCACCTCAGAGGGGTGCCAGCAGAGACCCCGTGCCCACCTCCATGCTTGTGCCCTGGTGTTGGGATGTCTGGGTTCAGATCCTGAACCTGTGACTCACTGGCTGTGTGACCTTAAGCAAACTGCTTAACTTCCCCATCTGTAAAATGGGGTGAGGACTGCATATACCTCCAAGCCTCAAACTGAAGGATGAAACGAGTTAATGATTCTGAGGTGGCCACAGCGGTGTCCAGCGGGCGGCAGGGGCTCGGGGCTGCTCTGACGTGAGTTTGGGGGCGGTAGCCTTTCATTCCGAATAATTTCAGGTCCCAGGTTTGACCCAAGAGCAGAAATTTGGGTTGGGCAGCGGACCCGAACATGGGGCCCGGAGGAGGCACGGGGAGACGCAGCACTGGTCCCAGGTGTTATCTGGCTGCTGTGTGACCGTGGGTGCGTGGCCTGCCCTCTCAGGACCCCTGTCCACTCCTTTTATACAATGGACAAGCTAACAAGAACGTGCTTCCAGTAACCCATTTCTGAGGGCCGTTCCAAAGCTTAGGCTGCATAGACAGAAGGGCTTGACACACAGACAAAGCTCTATTTCCATTAGCTCTCTGGGCAGGGGGGAGGCTGGGGGGTGGGGGTCCTTACCTTGGCTGTCAAGCACCCTATCATCCTTGCAGTCTATGGTGGAAGATTTGGGGTTGTCCTTGTCGCAGTTCACCAGCAGGATGGCGCCTTGCCCGCGGGGGCCCCAGGTCCAGGCCCTCTGTGGACGCCCAGCAGAGACGGGGCACGTTTAGAAAACCTGTGTGTGTCCCTCCACCTCGTGGGGGAAGCAGAGCCACCTTTCCCCAGCACCCCGATAGGCTTGTGCAGTTTCCACATCTCGCTCCCACATCAGGTCAATTCTTTAGTCCCAAGAGGGGATTTTTCCTGCTCCAAAAATCCTAAACAAATTCCCCCCAAATGCAATGCATCCACCTATGGAAAGGAGCCCAAGAGGGGCGCCTGGGTGGCTCAGTCAGTTAAGCGTCTGACTCTC